CAGCAGGCGGGGGAGGGAAGAGAAGGGGGCATTTTTCTCTACTTTCACCACAGGAAGGATTTTCAAAACCTATAAATTCACTTTTGACAAATGAACGGCTAAAGCAGATTAACCTTTCTGTTAATCCTCTATAATGGCTTTAGAATCTCCTTAACCAATAAGAAAATGATAAGAGCCCGTTTCTTTTCTTTTATCTATATCTATATTGTCCCCCCTTGTCTACATTTTTCTTTCTTGTTTTATTTTCCTTTTCTTTTCTAATATGAAATAGCCAAGAGATCGTATCTTGGCGGAGGCTCAGTAAACACAACATCAGTAATCCCTTCCCTTTATTCCCCTCCGGTAGCAGGGTGCAAAGAAGTGTCTGCCGATTGGGATTTGATTACCAGCCGCTATCAAAAGTCTCTTTGTAAGATCTGGGTCCTAAATCCCATAATTCTTTGATAAAAGAAGTATTACCAGTCCATTTTCTGAAGTGAAAGGTATAGGGGGAATGAAAGAAAGCAATCAGCAGAGATACTAATAGGCTAAGTGCGTGCGTCTGTGTGGTGGAAAGGCGGGGACATGAAGGGGAAGCCAGTGAAAGAAGCCCTTTGTCACAGGCGGGGAAAAAGAATTAATCCGCTTCAAAGTGCATGATTATTACAGCTAAACCCAGAAGGGGGAAGATTCTGCTTTCCCTTACACCAGTTTAGTCCCCACCTGACTTTCTCAGAGAAAAGTCTGGCCGTGATTCTCCCTGTGTTTGTTCTAGATTTGGGTGTCTGCATTCACCTAAAAACAAGTGGGATTTATAATAATGAATAAATAGACTTCTGTGTAACAGGCCTAATTTTCCCCTGCCCTGTATAGAGCATTGCATTTATACCAGTGGAAAGTAAGAGAAAACGCTCCCAGAGCAGATGGGCATGATTGAATTCTTCTTTCATACCAGTGCAAAATTATAGAATTGCATTCTTATAATATGTCAAATGCAGACTAGCAGAGGGAGGAAGATATCAAGAGGCAAAGAAAGGAAAGGAAGAAAAGTAGCTGGTATGTTTTCAAGTGAGGTTTCTTCATAAAGGAGGAACTGCTAGGTAAAAAAACCTGTAGGGAGGCTGCTATACGATAGCTAGAGGAATCAGAGGGAAGGTAGGGCTGAATGAGAGAAGGGGAAAGGAAGGTTAGTAGAGACAATGTTCATGGGGTCAGTTGATAGAGTGGCTGTCAGAGGCTTTTTCCTGGAGAGATCTCCAAGGGTAATAGAAATCTCCTGGTCATGAAGAACTCTGCTGTTCAGTGTGAACTGACTAGGAGAAATGTTGAGCTGAGTGTTTTTTTCAGTATACTGATGCTCAGTTTTATGTCTCCTTCTCATCCTACCAAATCTTTTATTCTTTTTATTCTTCTAGTGTATGACTGGTCTATACTGCAAAAGAGGTATGTGCTCAACTTGGGTCAGCCAATTCTGGTAATTGTAGGTTAACAGCAGTAAAGACTGCAGTTTGCTAAGTGAAGGCCCTCATTTCCAGAATCCACTCCTTTCACTGATCCAGTGGTAATGGCATCTAACAAGCTTTATGCCTCAGGAGATTGCCTTGATTAGTCCTTTTGTTTGGTCAGTCTTTTCCTCTTTCATTCCTGCAGAGAGGAAAGCATGCCTGATGCTATCTCTGGAGGCAGTAGCGGTGGCTTTCCAGTTCAACCCTCTCTGGTCCATAAAATTATTAATAGAAACTGATGGTTGAGCACCTGGCTGACATGAGAACAAGGATCTCTTGATGTTAGCTGAGACCAAATGGGGAGGTGTTGGGAAGTGCTGGGGAATACACAAAGGAGGGGGCATGGGGTCTTCCTTACCATTTTTTGAAATACCCCATGCCATTTCCTTTGCTTTAGGGGGCTCAGCTACAGTCAAGACAAAAAGTTGATGCCATAAGTTTGAGTGCCCCATGATAAATATGACCACTGAAATAACTGCTGTTGATAAAATTTTATTCAGAAATTTACATTTTTGGAAGGAAAAGAGAGAATCTGTGTGGGGTGGAGGGGAAGGTTGGAGGGGACGATTTTATTAGCCCTTCCCAAGAATGTATCTATCATAGAACAGCCTGCATTTAACCATTGTAGGCGCCTCTGGAGAAATGGCCCTTTGACCAACCTGCTTTGAGTGAATGAACTGAAATATGCATATTATATGTTAAGGCAGTTATCTCATCGTATTGCCTAATATGCCATTATATCCATTATATGCATTCAGCTTGCCTTTATAACTAGTTTGTTTTGGTAAATCAAAATTATTCATAAAAGAAAATTGCTCAACATGTTAATCCAACCTTGTGCCAAACACCATTTCTTTGACAGGGCTTAAATTAGTACTGGCCCTGTCAGCAGAAGAAAGGAAATGGGGAGGCAAATAAGTAGTAAGAATATTCGTAATCAAAGGGACTTTCATCTATTATAAATCAAGTGAAACATAAGTCAAGTGAATTGGAAAAGGCAGTAAAAAAAGGCTTCTGAAACCAAGTAATGAGTTTTATAGACCTAATGATCAGAGAGACCTAATTAATTGCTTGATTAATGTAACTATACAGTTCTTGCAAAGATCCAACTAACATACATGGACTATGAATCTAGGAACCGGATGGTTCATACAGCTGTGTCATCCTGCTTAAAATGACAGTTTCTTAAGTGACTTTCCACTGATACATAATGAACTTAGTGTGGGCTTTAGCAAAAGGATGTTGGGAAGTTTAAAACGGTTGCTTGCAAATTAGCCCTGGAAAAATACTGACAGAAAAACTAGTGTGGAAGATAAACAGAGACCTGAAAAGCTCAGCAACTCAGCCGTGAGAAAAATCTTGTCAAAATAGGATGCTGACTATACCTTGATGTGACATGGGTTCAGAGAGGTCCCCCTGCAGAAAATGCTGGTAACTGATATGGCCAAGATGTTTTGCTCAGACAATTTTTTCCAAGGATAAAGACTCCAAGTCATGGCAAAAACTGCAACAATAATAAAAACAAGATCCTTAAGGAGTCCTGTTTTCAGACTAGATGGTGAGAACGTGCACCACGATGGACATTCTACCGGACTTCTACATTTGGTAAGACTCATGAATCCACCTCAAAAGTGAACAGCCTTTGGGATAATCCCTCTGGAATCAGATGAAAAGGACAGGTGCTGCTGAGCTAATCTGGACCCAGTCTGCAAGACCCCCTGGGTTGCTCCCATTTGGTGTCTGCAGGCCTCACACTTTGGATGCGGCAAGCAGGTGTCTGGATTCTTCAGAGCTGACCTTGGCTGCAGACAAGGTCCCAGTGCTGTTGACATGATGCCTAGATCCTTCTGTGTCTACCTAATCTGATCCTGAGGCTGCATTACTGGCACCCAGGTCCCTAGATCCCCTCCCCAGTGTTGGTTGTGGCAGTGCAGCAGCGAAACAAAGAGCACATGGGTGAACTGAACAGTGCTCTCCAGGCATCCTTGTATGCTTGCAAGTGTGTGTGGCTGGAAGTGAGCCAACAGGAGTTCCGGCCAAAAGGAAGAAAGGAAGGACTCCATCCTTTGACTGTAGGGCCAGAAATACCCAAGCAGAGGTTGTATTTTAGATGAGATGTAAAGTGTTGCATATTCTTGTCGTTTTCTCACAAGTTTCATGATGTTTGCTGTTTTTGCTAAAGCCTTAGCTTCTGAAGCCATACTGTTATGCTAGAATCCCAATTTTCATTGGATTAAAAAATGAGTGGGTAGTCCTTCTAGCTGCAGAGAAAACTTGAAAACATGACCCACAACAGCTCAAAAAGAGGAAAGAGAATGAAACAAACTCATAATGTAACATTCCTAAAATCTCAAGGTTGTTTGGCCTGCCTTATGAATTGGTCCCAAGAACCTGGCTACTTTATGAGCATTGAAGAACCCATGGCATTATTTTGAATGTTAGGTCTGGCGCCAGTCCAATTTGAGAAATTGGAGGCATTATTTTTCTACACTTTTTCTTCAGAACTTGAATATGTTACCATGCGCTGTGGTTAACCTGATCCGGTCCACTGCAGAGGTAGGTACACTTCAGCAGAGGGGCATGAGCTGATATAACTACAGCTGACTGACATGACAGGGCATTATGAACCTAATTAAGTTCAATATATAATGTGCTTTGAAATCCTCAGAAGAAACGTGTTGTATACATGCAAGGTATTGGCATTAGCATTATTTAGACAGAGCACAGCAAAATACAATTTTCCTGTGCTCTGAGCAAAAAATAAAGCAGCTTTTGCTGAGAATCCTCAATTAGTAAAGGTCTGGGCTGTTGTTAAAAATGATTTTTTATCAAGCTGAACTCTCCCTCCTTCTCTCATACTGTATGATATGACAGCTCCCTTTTGATGGAAAAGCTTTCATTTGGCCAGAGAAAGGGATAATTTGCTTCTTTTAAGGAGTTAATCCTCTGGTCCATTTCTGGGCTGGAGAACAGCTATTCTCCCCCTGCCTGGAATCAGAGACTCCAACACAATGGAGATCATAACCACCTCAAATCTACACTCGAGATGGAGAAATCAGATTTCCTCCTAGAGTCATTTCTGTGGGATTAGCTAAATCTTAGATCCACACTAACCCTTCACAAAGCTGCCAAGATTAGTTAGAATTTATTTTATTCACAGGGGGGTTTACGGTTTTCTTTCCAAAGGGATTATATATATATGTGTGTGTGTGTGTGTGTATGTATTTTTAGGATGGCCTCAGTTATAAAGCAGCTAGCTTAGGTGGAAAAAAGTGTGTGTGTGTATATAATATTGAAATCCCAGGTGCAAGAATGACAATCACTTTAAGCTAAAAGAAGACAAGGCAGCAATTCCATATGGCATCACTGGACTGTTTTAAAAAGATTCAGAGTGCAAGCTGTCCTCTTCTTTGTAAGTCCGCACGGCATGCATAAGGCTTTTGTGAAGAGCAAACCCTATCTCCTCCAGCTGCTGAATGCGAACTGCCGGTTGCCACAGCCACCATTCCTGGAAGAATGTCTTCAGAAGCATCGCTGGACGTGGACCTCAGCAGGAGAGGCCTGAAGAAGCAATGCTCCTTCACCATCGACAACATTCTCTCCAGCCCGCGGGAGAGAAATCCTCAGGTTCTGGTGCCGTTCTGCCTCCGGGGTATCTTGGACTGTGAGCCCAAAGGCCTTTGTGCTCTAGAGGCTATCACGGCCAGCTCTCTGCAGGAGGAAGAGGATGAAGAGGAAGAACTGGAAGCTGCTGGGTGCAGCTGCTGCTGCTGTTCTCACACAAGTGCTCATTCCCTTCAGGACCCTCCGAATTGGCTAGGTGAGTACGCTCTTTTATGATTCACTGCCAGACTCTCATTGAGGGGGCATCATATCTCACTTGCACAAGGGCAACAGTACTCTGTAAAGAAGCAAAATCAAGGGACAGAGCAACTTTACAGCTCTGTGGCCCGCAGCCTGGCCATCTTGCATTGTGTTTTTGTTAGACTGAACCTCAGCAAGGTTGGGGTGGGTTGATTTTCATGGGCATCTGCAAGGAAGAGCTAGAATGTGGCAGGATATCACGCGGATGATGCTGTAGCTGGCACACTTCTTTACGAATCAGTATTGAGTCAGTGCCTCTGCAGAACTGGGCTGCTCCTGTCTAAATAAGATTAAAAAGCAAGACCTTAACTTCTTACAGCCTCTGATAAGCCTACAGCACTCTGTACCAGTAGAGCTCTTAATCTCTCACACATAACTGGGGTAAAACCAAACTACATTTCTCCCATCCCTGTTTTCAATTGGGTCCAGTATTCTTTACTCCTTGTTTCCAGGTGTTGTGGAGGTTTGACATACTACCTTACTGAGAGGGCTCCGGCAACGCATATATGCATGTGCTTGAAATTAAATATAGTTGAACATTTTGTTGTTTCACCCCGAGGGTGGCTTCATTTCAGGGTGGATGAAGTGGTCTATGCATGCAATTGGCACGGCAGCTGAAGTCTGCCAGTGCGGCATGTATCCAAACCACTAGGTTATTAGCACTAATCTATTACTGCACTGCAAACAGTTTTAAAATTATTAGTTAATATTAGTCAACCACCTTGAAGGGGAAGGCTGCTCAGGCCTGTAGCTAGTAAGTGGTACAAAATCTGGCTCTTTAGTATGGGAGTGGCTGTGCTTTTATTTCATTACATATAATGAAGAAAAAGTGGTATTTCACCTCAGTGAGTTCTGGATCAGCACTTGCAGAAATCCTGGCACAGTGAAGGAGAGATGTAGGCAGGGATTGTGTAGTTTATGCTAGTTATGATGTTTTTACACTAGTTATAGTAATTAAAAAAAATGTCATGGCTTTTAAACCCATCTAATGATTTTGGGGGCCTGACTCCTGACTTCTTTTAAGGCACAGGTTTGGCAATACTGACACTGATAATCTAGCTACGTGACAGTATTACCAGCCTTTTCTTTCCTCTCACCTGAAGAGTTCCTTTCTGACCCTTTCCTTTACCCAAAGCCCCACCTCAAGGCAAGAGTGCCTTCATTTCAGCCAAGGTAGCTGAACCTGACCTGAACCAAAGTGAGTTATCAGAGCTGATCCATCCTAAATCACCTAGCAGGGTTAAAGCAATGTGTAATCTGCCTTTCTCTGTACCATCCCCAGTTTCAGCCTGCCTGGGATTAAAAGCAGAGATCTGTCTTCACAGTGATCTGCATTTTAGGACTGGAATAAAATACTGTACATTTCCAACTCTTTTTTTCATTAGACACCAGGTTCCCCTGGCCTATGCGGCTTTTTCATCCTACTGTGAGAGCCTGTAAAAACCCTCGGGGGAGCCAAAGCGAGCTGCAGACCTTCCATCAGATCCAGAGGCGGACCCGGCGGCACCGGACTATCTTCACAGAGGATCAGCTCCAGGCCCTGGAGGCTCTTTTCCACCAGAACCAGTACCCGGACGTCATCACCAGGGAGCACCTTGCAAATCGTATCCACTTGAAGGAGGAGAGAGTAGAGGTGAGATTTTTTCATACTCTGGGCTGGCAAACTATTTTCCACCCTATTTGCTGAAAAGTAGATGCCCAGGAATCAGGCTAGATGGCTGCATACTCCACACCTCAAAGTACCACTTAAATAGCACCCTTAGAAATTCAGTAGGATGCTATTTAAACCCAAAGCATAACGGAGGAGCACAAAAGAATGCTCATGTAAGTTGATTCTACTGATGTGGCCTTCAGTGCTTGTGCATTCCTGTAGATGCATATGGGAATGCACCTGCGTGCTAACACACACGCGTGCGCGCATACGTACACTGTCTAATTCTGCTGCTACATCTCTGTTCTGGTATATATTTCTATTCTCTCTCTGTTCTACATAACCAAGGGGATTCCCAGTGTATTTTGCATGTGGCTGAACAAGAATTCTGCTGAGATCCTGCGGCGACTCCTGTACTAAGAGTCCAAGGCAGGAGTATGGAACAGCCTTTACAGTCAGAATAGGGGGCCATTAGGCATAGGCTCAAGACAAATGCTTCATTTTTTCCTTTAAATCCATAGGTTTGGTTTAAAAATCGACGGGCCAAGTGGCGGCATCAGAAGAGAGCTTCTGCATCAGCACTCATCCTTCAAGGCACCAAGAAGCCACCTGAGGAGAGCTGCTAGGGGTGGAAGCTAAATCTCACCTAGCCAACACAGAGGCCACCAACTTCCCCAATTCCCTGGTTTCTCTGGGAAGCGGTAGCAGACTGAAGGGAGGCAGAGAAATAAAGCAATAAGGGAATTGTGTAATTATAGCAGGGTTGGCAAGCCGGTCAATCAACTGGTCAAATATTGTTAATTGACCGGTCAATTGACTGCATATTTTTGACCGGTCAAAGATTAAAAAGCATTTTATGAGGAGTAAAATTTTTTTTGCAGTTTTCTTGACAGAAGTATGATTTTGTGTTGTTTTTGACACTTCTTATTGGGAAATTTGTGCTTTTTCTGTGTATTGTTTGACTGTATTGGCAATTTTTTACTATTTTTGACTGGACAATTGACCAAGCTTTATTTGACAGGTCAAATGACCAAACCTAAATTATAGAAGGAAAAAAGCTGGTCAAGACAGATGGGGTATTTTTTGGGATATTTTTCATTTTAAAGTACCAATGGTGCTTTTTGACTAGCATCTTCAACTTGCCTGCCCTGATGCCTGGCTCTCCATACAGTTGGTGATTAGGTTATTTTTAAATCCAAACAAAGTTTGTTGTGTGACAAGTAATAATAAATGCATCATATGGGGCATGTTCCTCCAAAACCTTAAGCATAAAAATAGCCAGAAGCCAGCACAAGGGATAGAACCTGCATCAGCATTAGTATTGTAGTTGTGTGTCTGGGGTGAATGGCTGTACCTCAGAGATAGTGAAAGATTTCTTTTTATTTGTCTTTATTTTGTGTATGTGTGTGCTTTATTATAAAGTAGAACTGGAGATGCCATCTAAAAATGAACGTTGTATTGTTTACCGTGTCCTGATGATGTCTAGCACTGCATTTTGGGGTCAAGGTGGAAATTGGTTGATTTATTACACAACTCAAAACAAGCACTTGCTGACTTCAGTCTTCAAAAGGAGCTCATTTGTGTAATAGTGTGTGTCTGCGTGTGTGTGTGGGGGGTACTTTGTGAAAGCACTGATGGCATGTTTTAATTAGCATCCCTAACTAATCAGACCCAGGCATGCAATCCAGTTGGCTGTTTTGAAAGACAGGGAGAATTTCTTTCCAAAACCAATCACCCTGCAGCTGCTCTGGTCACAAGGGGACAGTTGCACTGTGGAGTGATTGCAAGTGCCAATACAAATCAAAATGGCAAAAAATGTGTACATTAATATGTAACACAGCAGAGCAAGAGTGGCATCTGCTGGTGGGGTATTAATTAGAGCTTGTACAGACAGAAGCATATGTTTCAGCATGTAAGCAAGCTGTTCCTTTTGCTACTCCACTGTAATTGGAAAAGTAAACTCATTTTACTTTCTGGTTTCCAGCACTGAAGCCAAGCTTTGGGGGCTGGAGTGACGCCCTTTGCTTCGCAGCACCCCAGAAGAAAGACTTGGCTGCTTTTTTTGGGCAGCATTACCCTGTCTGCTGCATATGTGCTAAGGATTAGTATTATTGGCAGCATCCTACAAGCTTTTGTACCCTAGTTCTTGCTTCTCATCTCCATCTGTGTTAAGTCCTTTGCATAGATTCCTCCTCATTTTCAGATCCCTCTCCGGCTGACTATAGTTAAGAGGGAGAGAGAGAGAATTAAGCATGGCTGGAGTCTCTTGAAGCGCTTAGTAAAATAAAGATGATTCATAACATATGTATCAGGGAGACAACTGTTACTGGAACTGAAGTCCAGGCAATGACCTTTCTGAACGTCTGAAAAAAACCATTACTAAGGCCATCAAAATACTGTGACAGTAAATAAGATCTTTCACTTCTAGGGCACCCTTTCTTCCCTTCTCTGCTGAGGGGCTGACAGTGAGGGCCACCTGTTAGTTAAGAAGTGAGATAAACCTGAGTTTTTGCCTGTCTGCTGATATAACTAAAAGCAGGAGACTTTCTAGTGGTGGAAACTGTGCTGTCCTATGCAGTGTGCAGCTAAACAGTGCTGCCTGAGCGTGGGGGCTGCACGCCAGGAACTAGGGCATGAGTAAATGCAAACTTGTATTCAGTGTTCAAATGTTATGAGCAGCAAGCTATTTTCAAGATGGGACACAAGCAGAGGCAAGGTAATACCATCTGTTTCTCCAGTGTGGACCGTGTGAAAGGTACTAATCTAGCATTAATGCACTATTTGTCCTTTGAAACCTATCATGCAGTGCAGTACTCACAAGCAGTAGTTGTTGCTATGATGCTTACATAGATGATGCGTTAAGTAAAGGTATTACTGTGTTAAGTCTCATTTGTGTGTCCCTGGCAAAATCAGACCTCTCTCCTGTGTTCTGCTCACTCGTGTGGATTTTCTCTCTCAGAAATACGCACTTCATGCTTGCAGGCTGTCTGGAGACTTTCTAACAACTGCTCAACTTGCAGAGCCACCTTTACCAAAAGCGCTGCTGTATCGAGCACTTTGCTTCAGATTTGGCTCAGTCTGCAGCTAACTAAATGGGATAAAAGTGACTGTTGAGGCTTGTAAATACTATATTTACTCAAATATAAGACGAGCTCCCCCTCATCAGCATGTGGTGGGAAGCTCCTCATCCTATACTCACGCATGAAGCGGAGTGGCGAGCAGGTGGCTGTGGAGCCTGGGCCAGCGCCAGAGTCAGGCCCAGAGCAGCCTCCTGCTCTCCGCTCTGCAGCTTCTGCCCCCTTCCCACGCCTGCCCCCCAACTGCCAGGTGCGCTCGGCTCCTGCTCTGCCTCCCAGGCATGGCGCTCCTTCCCCTGCCTGGCCCAGCCCCAGCACCCACACGGCTGCTCCGCCAGGCAAGGGCCCCAGAGCAGGCAGCAGGAGCAGCACCCACTGCAAGGGGGAGGCTGGGAAAGAAGCAGAGACTGGGAAGAGTTTGGGCGGGAGAGGCAGAGACTGGAGAGCCGGGCGGGGGGAGCAGACTGGGAATCTTCCCGGGGAAGAGGCCGAGATGGAGGAGTTGGCGGGGGAAAAGGGCCAGGGCCAGGGCCAGGGCCCAGCTTTCTCTGCTGCAGCAGCAGAGGAAGGGATTCAAAACAACCCTCCCACGCTTTGACACAGAAAATTAGAACAAATTTATACATTTTTCATTGTAGAGCATTTAATTGCCAGGGGGTCGTTTTATGTTCGGGGTTGTCTTATACACGGCTAAGCGGCCGCCCCCTTGCGGACGCGGCACTTCCGGGACAGGCGCTGCCCCCGCGGCGCGGCAGGACTGGGCCACGGCCACACGGTCACGCCCCCCAGCAGGGGGCGCTCAATCCCTTGCGCCGCTCTAGCCGCGCTCTCTGTGGTGTGACGGCTGGCGCGGCCGCCCAG